ATGTGATTCACGTTAATGAAATTTATAATACTTACATCTGTGATTTTCATTTTAATTTATTACAGAGCATATACTAAATATACTAAATTGGCTTATAATAATTGAATAATCAATATACATGTTCTTAAACAGTTAATCAATAATGACTGTGGATTATAAGTATCGATGAATCAAATTTAAATGAAATGTGATGATTATGCATATGCATAGAGGCAGTTAGTATCCTTGAATTTCAATTCAAAACTGAATATGTATTGTTCCTAAGCACTGATATACAAACTCTTATTGAAATGCAATAATTGACCTTTGAGATTAGGTAATTATTATGCTAATTAGGTAATTCTTATGCATAGATTTCAACGCAAACTGAGCGTGTCTGTTCATTGTTCATTGTTCTGGTTGTTGAGAACATATCAACTAAACTTTCCAATCGAATTGTTCACAAACAAATAATGGACACATCAATTGTTAAAGCAATCGTGTTGATAGTATCAAAATTAAAGAATATCACCAGGAAATGAACAAATCTAAGAGAGAGAAGAAGTCGAAAAATTAATAAGTTGGCACGGACGACGACAGACAATCAGACTAATAATTTTGAGTAGTTGTTGTTGAGTGAGCTTAAACATTTTAACAGTTTCTAGGCAAAACTGTCTGGGCTAAAAAAACCCACAAAAATAAAATCTATAGCTTATGATATTGACTCTTTCCTTCCTCTCTCCTGTTTTACTTTAACAATCATTTTGATACATAATAATATAAAGACTAAAAGAAGACACTTTATAAATACTCACATAATCATCATAGTATCGACAGCGTGGTACATAGGCATTTGTACCACAGACTAACAATCTGTCATTTTCATCATTCTTTTCAATAACTTTAATAAAATTATGACATTTTGTGTCCACATGCATCCGTTTACAAAAGTCACGATCTGAATCATCTGGTTGCCATGGGATATCTGCCTTTAGTTCAAAGTCACTTTCCATGTCCCGTAAAAAGAAGCGATTCACAGAACCAACATAAAGATACCGATTATCTAATATTTTTGATAAAGTGATATTTCCAATGTGAACTACATTAGAATCTGATGAAAAAAGAACAAGCAGACCAGTGAGCGTTTTTCTGTGTCTCAGTTCATCGAAGAATTAGATGAAACCTAGGATCTTTTTTATTAGAATTTTTATTGACAAACAATGACTAATATTATTAAAAGAAACATCCTTAAAAAACCACAATTCCCAGCTAAATTCAACTGAAGTAATACAGTCAACAAGTTAGCGCAATTGGTTTCAATTTGCAAAGGAAATTGCAACAAGCATAAAAGGCCTTTGGGGAAATTTTATTTATATGTTAGGTAAAAACTCTAAAATGTTGGTGGTGTTGAAAATATCCTACTACTAGTAAGCGTATGTAATCCATGACATATGGTGGTCATTCGTTTATTCTATAGTACCCATAATGCATTAATAATGTTGAGATTAGGGCAAAGTGTCGAATTCCAAATGTTGAAAACGATGCACATGTTTTGTTATATTTATTACAGCAAAACAAACATTCGCACTTGAAATTAATGCCCCTGAGGTCCATCTTGCGGCCATTCGTTTATTTGATTTCCATCACAACATCATGAAATCATGGTAATACTTGTTGTTATATATTGCTGACACACACAGTGATACACAAAACTGCTATTTCATTTGCAGCACTATGCCTGTATTTACAACAAAACAACACCATCAATCAGACATGCTTATTTTTCAAATAGAGAGGTCAGGCTGAAAACTGAGGGAAACTACACTTACATATTGTTGCATGTGATTTAGGCACTTGATCTTCTGGTAAATAACTTGCTTGTAGACAGACAAACAGAAAAACAAACAGTACAACTGAACCGACTGGATTTGTAAAATCCATAAATCTTCCTTGATTGTAAAAAAATTAAATAAAGACAAAAATATGAATAATATAAAAAGTGACTATATATATGCCACCAAAATGGAAAAAGGGATACGTTTGATACATTCCTATAATGAATCACAAGTAATAATGTTGACAATAATTTCTTAATGTACGTGCATACAGTTCAGTTCGGGTGTAACGTAGTTAGCCTAGACTTTACATACAAATTCGTTTTAATATCCACCAATGTTATGAGACCATATTTAGGCAGGTTACTCCACACATGTGTCAGCTTATAACTACCTAAATGATAATTTACGCATGAATCGTACTTTATATTATAAAGTTGTACATTATTGTTACTATTCATACAACACTATGTATTGCAGTACCATAATACCATTCATACAGAAATGCTGAATTGTTCGAGTTTTAACCACGCCCACGTTTGTGAAAACTTGCCCAAATAGTAAGTCGATGTTCAATTATCAGTTAACTTTTGAGTTTTGAGTTACGAGCAACATATCAACAGTTAACCAAACTTCGAATTCGGACATTTTGTAAACCGGAATTGTACATACGTAATTTTTTTTGTCGCTATTGTATATCAGATCCCGCAGCTTGGCTAGGAGTGAGCAGCTTTAGTAGCAGTGCAATGTCTGGAGTTGACAAGGAGATTACAGTCTTCTTCCTCAATTTCTGAAAACGGTGGCCAAGTAAGGCGTTCAAACCCACACAATCTACCACATCAGGTAGAGCTTGTAACACCTATGAAATAAATGAGTATTAGCAAGTTCATGCCCACAAATTATTCACAAACAAACTACAAAGAATACAATACATATTTTGTATTTATGTAAATGCACGTCCACGTTCAGCAATGACAATGCAACTAATTGTTGAATCTTTCAATGTTATTGTTCCCTTCATGGTATAAGTCATTAATCGCATTTACAACTGTAAATGCCATAGTTTTTGTCAGCCATTTGTCTCGTGCATTTATAATATACGTTTATTTTCTCACACTTTTAGAAAAAACAACATTTAAGAAAATGTACATGCATATACCCGACAGAAATATAATGACGTCATCACTCGAGCGCGAATCTTGTGCACAGATGTATGTAAAAATACTTTTTTTAGTAAAAGGGTGAAATACATGGGTCATATATTGTGGAAAGTAGTGTGTACAGGTGAGTACGCTTGGTAAAATATACTGTACTGGCACATGGTCATGCTAAAAATTCGGGTGAGCCTAATATGGAAGGCCGAACGTTACAATGTTCATTAAACATATTTATGCGTCGAACATGTTTCCTCCTTCAGCTTGCTCTGGAACGGACGAGAGTATACAATAACATGTGTATCCTCAGGAGCTACTCATCAAGTCACAAGTCGGCGTTCTAGAATGCCTTGATGGGTTACAATGGTGACATGAAATAGATACAGGACAACATAGGAAGCAATAGACTGACAACGGAATCTCAGTAACGAAAAACGTGCAAAATCCCAATAGTGTATAATGTGCAAATGAATGCACAACACAACTTAGCTCATAGCAAACTATTATACTGCAGTCAGTAACACATAAAAGACTGACTTCATGTACGCTAAAGAAACACACAATATCACTATTACTCAGCTCAGCTCACAATGAACAAAAAATAATTCTATAACACCTTGCATGCAACTCGTTGCCACTCACTCACTCACGTAAACGCACATGCCTGTTAATATTACGGTCTTAATCCTGAAGTATTCGTATTCATATTTAAACATATTTGTTTCGAAACAATGAACATTGTGATGATTGCATATCTTGTCTGATAAACATGCTGCTAAACAGCAGTGACCCGTATTCGCTATCACACCTTTAAATTTGAACTGTTTTGTCTGACCTCTAACTTAAAACTTGTTGATGTTCTTTTGTTGTTTAAATGTTACCCCACATATGCTCCTGCAAATGTTACATGCGCTGTCTTAGACTACTGTCACTGTGTGCAATACTTAGTGTCATGTTTATATCAGGGGGAAAATCTTCTACTCTCGGGGTTCTCCACACTTGCCAAGGGGGAATCTCGTCTCGTCTCTCTATCTCGTCCCCTTGAGGTATGGGATCGGGAAAGTCACTTACGCTTTACAGTCAAATAAGACACACACAACGAAATACGTTTCAGCTCTCGTCTTAGTCGGTCAATCGAGCACTCTATAAGACACAGCGCCCTGGGGGAAAATCCCCAAGACTATCGCAAGGCTGACCCAAGACTCTCTTAGACTGCGTCAAGGCTCGCCCCAAGTCTCTCCAAGACTGCACTCTCTCTACTGCGTCTATCGTGCTGTGCTCCCCAAGACCAACTTAAACTCTCTTTATTCATTTTCAAAACTCTAACCAATTACAAAACAGAAAAAAGACTCTAGGGCGTAACTTTCAATCATAAAGCCAATCACACTAAGTACTGAATACGTCACATCTTTTGATTAATCGTTCACTACATTAATAACTATGAATATAAACTGTCAGAATGAGTAGTCTGAATAGCGGCGGTTATCTGGTAATTAGTTCCAAATCACTGAGCCAAGTTCCGTCCAAAACTTCAAATAGGCCTACACGATGACAGACATAACACAGCAATTCGCTAACAATCAGCTAATTAAGTCAGTTAACAGATACGCAAAAACAAATTCATGACATTTACCTTATTTGTTTTGAAATAGTTTGATTTACTAACCAATTGATGAACAAAATCATTCTCCAGTTTTGTGACATAAAGTCCGTATATTTAAAATGTTACAAGATACATATGTTGTTCTGTGTTCTATATTACACATCACAATATATGTGTACTCGTTGTACATACTTAAATGACTTTCACTTGTCATTTTGTGAGATATACAACTCAATAGTTAGTTACAGTTCGACTTATTTAAGTGAGATGTAAGA